ACCCCGGCCCCATAGGAGGGCACAGCCCGCGCACTCACCGCTGGCGTTCTTCCCGCAGATGAGGTGCTGGTAGGGCTGCAGCAAGCCCCACAGCTCCGCGTCGTTGTTGACCGTCTGCTCCAGAGCCTCCACCGTAAACTTGGGCGCTTCACCGCCGCCGCTCTCCTTGTCCTTCTCCGCGCCAGCGGCGGCGGCCGAGCCGGAGCCCGAGCCCCGGTTGGGGTGCGGGTGGGCCGAGGCGCTGCCCCCCGCCATCACCCGCCCGTAGATGTCTCGGAAGAGGTTCTCCAGGCAGGCGGTCAGGTAGATGGCGGCGTGCTCGTGGATGCGCACGGCCACCCGGCTGTCCACCATCCAGCGGTAGAACTTGCCCACCGAGAAGGTGAGCCCGCAGCGGGTGGATTTGCCCCGGCTGAAGCGGTCCCCGCCGCTGCTGCTCATGTTGTAGAGGGAGAGGGCGCCCAGGGCGGCCGCCGTGCAGCTGGAGGCCAGCGTCCAGTCCAGGACGATCTCCATGGCGCTCTGGATCTCGTACTTGGTGCATTTGGCAAACCGCAGGCTCAGCCGCTGAGCCTCCTTGGCGATCCGGATCAGCGCCCGGCTGACCAAGGAGGAGAGCTTGGCCAGGGCATCTCTGGCAGGGCTAGCGGGGGTGGCCGCCGGCCCGCGGGGCTCCCTGTGCCGCAGCAGGAGCAGCGCCTCCACCTCCTCCAGAGTCCAAGGGACCTCCTCAAGGTCAGGCAGCAGCCTGGAGCACTGCTGCCCCGAGCAGTCCAGCACCTCGGAGTCTTCCACTAGGACCGTGTTGACAGTGTCAAAGCTGTTGTGCCTACTGTGCATGGAGTCAGCTAGATGCTGCCAGCAGTTTCCTCCATAGGGGTAAGCCGGGTGGGAATCCGAACAGCACAGGGACAAGTTGGAGGACCGGACTGAGTCCGCAGCACCACCATAACCAGAATCCAGGGTCAAATCTTCCAGCGTCCTCACCACTGTCTTACCTCGCCTTGCCATAGCTGCACTTCATGCTGCACCCGCAGGAAACCAGAGGGGGAATGGAAAGACGAGACGGAGCCCACTCGCCACTTTGTTGCGCCTTCCAAAGCCTCTTCCCGGCCCACGCACCGGCTCAGCTCCGCGGAGGGGCTCGGCAGCCCCACTCCCAGCCGGGCGGCGGAAGAACGCCGGAAAAATAAAAGTGTTTAAATGTTCCCTTCTCCCCGCCTCCAGCAGCAGCGCCGCCGCCGCCAGCCTCCCTCGCCGATCACTGCACTGCACTAGCAGGCAGCCCTATACCGCAAAACCCAGCCAGCCAGCCGGAGGAGGGAGTGGGGAAGAGGCGGGCCTATGTAAAACAGATCGGGAACGAGCCAATAGCGTTGGGATATGCTAATTATATCACCCCTTTCTCCCCCCCCCCCCCACTTGTTTCCTCCCTATCGGCAGAAATGAGGGAGTCGAGCTTCACCCTTTGGAATTCATGGAGAATCGAGACCCAGAGCCCAGGCAGCCCCCACAGCTCTGGGCCTGTTACCAGGACCTGGGTTTTTTTTGTCTCTCTCTGGTTATTTGTTTTTGTTGAACTTTGCTGTTGAAAAAACTCACAGGAGCCATGTAGATTCTCCAAACCAGAGGAGGGAAAGCTCCCGGCCTGGGTAGTGATTTGTGTGGTTAAGAATAGCCTAAACCTCAGGCTTGTGTCCTTAGCAGGTAGTAGAAATTAGAAACCACCAGCCTAAAACAGATCCAGCAGCTGCGAATTCTTGTAAGAGTATTTTCTGCTCCAGTGGTTCCCCCGCACTGGGGCCAGGCCCCTCCTTAGCCATTTTGGTGCCCTACGCAGCCCCCCCCCCCCCCGGGGGGGGGGCTGTGTGGGACTCAGGCCTCCGCGGGTTGGGCTGGGTCGCTCCACTTCCTGCCGCCCGGTGCGTGCAGGGCAGCCAGTCCGACCCCGCACTCAGGGGGCGGTGGGAAGTAAAGTGACCCGGCCGCAGGCCGCTCCGCTCTGCTCCCCTGGCTCCCAGCCTTGGGGGGCGGGGGAGAAACCGCCCCCCGCACTCACCCGTCGGCGTGGCTGGGAGCCAGGGGAGCGGAACGGGCTGGGGCCAGGTCGCTCCACTTACCGCCGCCGGTGAGTGCAGCACCACCCCCTGCTGCAGTCCCTAGGGGAATGGGGGCGGGGAAGGGACGGAGCAGGGCGGGGGCTTTGGGGAAGGGGCGGGGCGGAGCAGGGGCTGGAGCAGCAGGCAGCTGCGCAGGGTACGGAGGGCCCTGACTGGGGCACATACCAACACAGATGCTTCAGGTTTTTGTGACTGCACCTATGCCAGTGAACTGCCTTCCTCCCATTTAATTACGTGGCGCAACAAGCACCATTACAGGTTAGAGCATGCACCGCTGATTGTGGGTGGTGTGAGAGACACATACCTGACTACAGTGGAAAATTGTAAAGCCTCATATTTTCCTCTCAGCTCATCACAGAATCCCCGTGTAAGTTCCCCCCCCCCCATCATTAAAAAAATCATTTTTTCTTTAAGATTAAGGGATAGATCATTTACATGAATATGGACAACTGCTGAGCTCAGGAACTATTCTGTTTGGCTCCTGCCAAGGCAAGATACACCTCTCTATTCTTCCTTTGTTAGTCAATGTCACTCCCTCTTATGCTTGTGCATTGCCAGCATGGCAGTTGCAGCACCTATGGTGAAAGCAATACCAAGAGACCTAAGATTTTAGAGGCAGTTCTGAGAAATTCCCCAAAGCCCAAGAGACCTAAGACTGGGCATGAGTAGTTCTGTTAACAGGGTTATGTGCATGCTTTAAGTTAAGCATGAGTTCAAACCCTTTGGATCAGGACTTCAATATGTGTGTCTTTTGAAGACAAAAAAAGTAGCAAGGGGGAAGTATAAAACAGGTTTCTATTGAACCTGTTAGCATTATCTCCCAAACAGATTAAATGGATTCTCTCGCCTTCATTTTTCTCGCATTCTTTTTATTCCAGTGGTTTGCTGAATTTTCCAAAAACAAAATAAAGCCATGGGGCAAAAAAAGTAGAGAAACTTGATTTAGAACTAAACAAACTGCCATGTAGTAGTAGCAGGCATAGTTTCAATCTGGAAAAACAATCTCCAAATAATTAAAAGAAGTACTCTGAACCCCCTAGAAACTCTTAAAATTAACCCCCAAAGAATGAGGCAGAATTTGAAAAGCGAGACTCTTATTAACATTGGTGAGAGTTTTACATGCACAGCTAAAAATTCCTGGACAGTGCATGAACAACTTATGCCTAGCGGAATATATATTAATCTTTATGTGCTGAGTGTTATTGCTAATGGGAGTTGCATGGCAAAGGGCTCATGCAACAAACAGAATATACTCCTCCTAAGTGTATACTTCTGTTCTGCAGAAATGTTATATTGCTTTAATCGTAAACCACCAGTAAACATCTATCCCTTTAAGTATAAAAGGCTAGCAAACATTTCTTCACCCTGACTTCAGTGTAGTCAGTCAAAATTCTTCAATAGACAAGGCCAGTCAAGTAAGAGATTTACCCTCTCAAGGGAGCAAAAACTGGCAGGCATTCAACATAAACTTCCTAAAGGAAAGGCATGAACACAACTACAAGGAGAAGGTAGACTAGTTGGGGTAATTCTGACATCCCTGAAAACACCTAGAGGGATTTACACTATGACTTAAGGGAGGTACAGTAAGAAAACCAAGAGATATCTTGACAGCATTTTCAACTTTGAAACAGGAAATGTCAGTCAGAATAGATCTTCAAAAGACATCCTAAAAGCCACAGAACTCACACAATAGCCATAATGAATAAGCAGAGGATGGGGGAGCTCTGGATTAGAGTGAATACCATGCTGAAGAGAGAAAGGGCTAACGTGGTGCCCATCTTTAAAAAGCCGAAAAAGGAGGAGCCAGAGAACTATAGATCAATCAGCCTGACCTTGATACCTGGGAAGCTACTAGAGTAATAGATAAAACATTCAATTTGCCAATACCTGAAGGATAAAGGGTGGTCACTAGCAACCGGCATGGTTTTACTAAGAACAAATCATGCCAAACCAGCTTGATTTTCTTCTTTGACAAGGTAACTGGTTTGGTGGATAGGGGTAATGTGGTGGACATAATATAGCTGCACTTTAGCAAGGCTTTTGACACAGTCTCACATGCCAGTCTCATAAGCTGGAGAAATGCAGGCTCGGTGGAACTACCATTAAGTGGATATATAATTGGTTAAACAACCGCAAACAAAGAGTAACTATAAATGGAATGATGTCAGATTGGAAGGAGGTCTAAAGTGGGGTTCCACAGGGATCTGTGTTGGGTCTGGTGTTATTTAACATCTTTATTAAATAATAATCTAGATGTAGGAATAGAGAGCCTACTGATCAAATTTGCTGATAATGCAAAGCTGGCGGGGGGGGACGTGTTTACAAACACTTTGGAGGATGGTGCTAAAATTCAGAGGAACCGTGATAAATTGGAGAACTAGGATAAAGATAACAAAATGAAATTCAGCAAAGACAAGTGTAAGGGGCTACACTTAGGGAAGAAAAACCAAATACAGAACAGGGGAAAACTGGCTTGGCAGCAGCACTACTGAGAAGGATCTGGGAGTTGTGGTGGATCACAACCTCAACGTGAGTCAGCAATGCAATGCTGTTGCAAAAAAGCAAATGAAAATTTTGAGTTGCATTAACAGAGGCATAGCATGCAAGTCACGGGAGGTGATAGTACCGCTTTACTCAGCGCTGGTTAGGCCTCAGCTGGAGTACTGTGTACAATTTGGTCACCAATATATATAAAGGATGTAGAGAAACTGGAAAGGATCCAGAGGTGAGCAACAAAGATGATCAAAAGGGTGGAATGCAGCCATATGAGCAAAGGCTGAAGGAACTGGCTATGTTTAGTTTGGAAAAGAGGACATTAAGGGAGGACATGACAGCAGCCTTCAAATACTTGAAAGGCTGCCATAAAAAAGATGGAGAAAAGTTTCTCCCTCTTGCCACAGAGGACAGGACAAGAAGCAATGGGTTCACACTATAGCATAGCAGATTTACATTAAATCTCAGGAAAAACTTCCTAACTGTAAGAACAGTAGGGCAATGGAACAAACTGCCTAGGGAGGTTGTGGAAGCTCCTTCACTGGAGGTTTTCAAAAAGAGGCTGGATACCCATCTGTCTTGGATGGTTTAGACACAAGAAATCCTGTATCTTGGCAGGGGGTTAGACTAGATGACACTTGTGGTCCCTTCTAACCCTACGGTTCTATGATAAGGTTAGAGCCATTCTGTAAGCTGAATTGTAAGTCTTCACTGCACAGTTAACCCAAGTGATTGGCACCCAGGTCTGAGCCCTGGGTTACCCTAGCCTGGGTGTGTGTGTCCCCACAGCAAAGTTCTACCTACATCACTTTCTGCACTTGCCTGTGTGTGTCTAGGGGCATAACTCATGGTTCTTTGTGCTGAGAGGCTCTAGGATTCATTCCCTGTCAACTGTGTTAATTGTGGGAGAACGTCATCTGACTTTTGGGGGGATTGGGGGATGGGTACTGGAGGATGATGGTTTTGCCAGCATCCTCACTGCAAAGTGAGTGGGTTCCAGCACGAGTTAAAGCAGAGCCTGCAATCTAAACTATATCCTCTGTTGGGTCAGCTAGCCTGGTCTTAAAGCATCTCCAAACTTGGGTCAGAGGTTTTTCTGGGTGGATAATAGGGAGTTTGGGCTAAAATCCAGTTAAGAGCCCAGGTAAATTGTACAGTAAACATAGGATTCTATAGTAGGGTCCCCCCCGGTGTCTACAGTACTCCAGTGCAGCAGATTAGAAATTTTCTATCCAGCTTCACCTTAACTCAGTAAAAATCTCCATGTTAGAATTTAATGAGAATGAACACAAACATACAGAATATCTTGGGAGATTTTTCTAAACAGATTCAATTTGTTTTACTCTGCCCCTAAATTTTCAGAGAGTTGCAACTTTTTGCATTGATAACACATGACTGCACTCAGGCATTATCGGGGGAAACTGTATGTTATGAAAGCTGGGTAGCAAATAGATCTTGGTGACTGGGAAGGCATGGGAGATAGCTTGGGAATGTGGACTAAGCACATCATTTGGACCTTTATGCTGCAGTGATGAGAAGTAAAATAGTTAACGGTGACATTAAAACAATTGTCTTTAGGCTATAAAGTTAACCATGCATGGGGCAGTTCACATCTCAGAGCTATTATTTCAGGCTCTGGGCAGACTAAGACAGATGTCATACTATTGCTTTAGAATCAGTTCATATCTGAAGAGTTTTCTTTTCAAAATTACAATTCTGGCTTTACATTTGCCACGAAAGCCAGATTCTGGGGCCCTATGGAATCTGTGGCCACAGTAAGATTTCCATATCAAATTATGGAGGGCAGAAAATGTCCCAATTTGATTAATTCAAAGCAATGCAACGTGGCCTTCATGGAGCTTTGGTGACCTTTCATTGCCTGTGGGATGCTCTCCAAGGATAGGATGTCTTTGCTGTCTTGGCTGCTCATACTTGAATGAGCTAGCACATGGACTGGAGGGAACAGCATGAACAACTAAAAGGGCTACAAGTTTATCTGAGGAAATGTGACTAGACAAAGGTACAGACAAATTTCCTTGGAACGGGAGGGGAGACTAGATCAGTTTGGAAAAATAAAACCTGTCCCAATACTTAGTGCCTAGATGCCACAACTGGGAGCTTCAGAAACAATCCTCAGTCCCAAGCCAAAAAGCATATTGCAACATTCCTTGGGTGACCACAAAATTTATACCCTACTTTGCAAGCTGCAGTCTTTGATGGTACCATTAACTGACTTAGCAAAAACAAATAAAAGAAAACAGTCCGGTGGATGCCAGACAATGAAAACCCTTCACTGACTTGGAGATGCTTACGTCAGAATCAGTCTTACAGAGCTTAGAATTCAGATAGGAATTTCTTGAGCAGGTATCCTCAGATGATAGTACCTCAAGGAGATGCTGACTTAGTGAAGACTGATGATATCTGAAAGAGGGTCAGTGAAACGGACACACACAAAGGTTTATCAGTGCCAATTTACATCAGTGGGCAAAA